TGGGTTTTTGGTCTGATAAGTGGATTGGTGTTAAAAGTCTTAGGGATTTGTTCCCTAGGTTATTTGCTCTTTCTGTGAAGAAGGATGGAAAGGTTTTTGAGATGGGGAGTTGGGAAGAGGGTAGATGGTGGTGGAGGATGGAGTGGAGGAGGGATACAATAGGGAGAGAGAAAGATGAGGAGGTGCGGTTGGAGAAGGTGCTGGAGGGTGTCAAACTAAAGGAGGGGGCAGGGGATGTTTGGAAGTGGATTCATGCGACGGATGGCAAATATGGGGTGAAGATAGCGTATGATTTTCTAGCTACTTCGGAGGGTGTCTTGGAGAACCAGATGTGTAAACTAATATGGTGTAGATTGGTGCCATCCAAAGTGGCTTTTTTTGGGTGGCGTTTATGCTTAGATAGACTCCCAACTAAGGATAACTTGCAAAAACGTGGGATAGTGTTACAGGAGGGGTTTCTCTACGATTTCTGTAAGGGGAAGGTGGAGGAAGTAAACCATTTATTCTGTTTGTGTTATAATGCATGGTTAGCGTGCACTCAGGTGTTGAGGTGGTGGGGTTTGGAGTCTGTTTTTCCTAATACAGTTAGGGGAATGGCAGATTTTTTCATTGGAAGTTTGGGCAGATTAGTTGGAAAAGAGATGGGTTCATGTATTTTCCTAGTGGTCGCCTGGTTTCTATGGTATAGTCGGAATGTTCTAGTGTTTAGAAAAGATGAGGGTTTGCCAGAGAACTTGATGGAAAGGATGCAAGTTAAAACATTTATATGGATTAAAGCCAAAGTCAATGGCTGTGGTTTCTCTTTTTACGAATGGCAGACTTACCCAATGGAGTGTGCAATGGCTGTCAAAAACCATAAAAGGTTGCGGAAGCAGTTCTTTAAAGCTTGTGTGCCGCTGAGATGATGGCTAGGCGGGTCTGTTTTGTTTCATAAATGTAGTATGTGGGCTTCTGTGGATTTTTGTTTGTGATTAGTATGTTGTATCAGTTGCTGGTTTTCAGGAGATTGGCTCTCTTCTATTGTGGTTACCATTTTTTGTATATGGGCAGGAGCACCCCTTGTGCTTCATTAAATTAAATTTTCTTTGGCTGATCAAAAAAAAAAAAAAGAAGATAATAGGAGAATAAAAAGGTTATGGAGATTAACTAAAGGATATGTCTTTATAGAAAAATATCAATTCAAAGAATATGTTCTTATAGAAAAAACATTATTTTAGTTGTTAAAAGTTATATCTAAAAATAAATTTTGTTTTAGTACATCAAAATCTCAAGATACCCCCAAGTGCCCATCTAAATATAATAATAGGAAGGCCCATAAATCATAAGTTTTAACTTTTCGTAATTATTTATAAATAAAAAATATATATAAATTCCTTTATTTTCTTATATTTTTCTAAATATGAAATTTTCTTTATTTCAAACTATTCAACAAAGCTTTCAACAGGATACGTAAATTCGAAGAGGGCTATAAAAGAAATGTTGGTAAAAAGCCTGAGCACTTTTCTTTTCTTTTTGTTTGGGCAATCAAAGTGTTTCAAAGTCAGTGGACGCAACTTCTTCTCAATGATCCTTTATACCAATCTAGTACATTCAACCAAATTAATTTCTTTAAGACCCATGGTTCTTGGGTTATTAATCAATTGTATGATAAGTGTATTTTATTATAATCTCAGTTGTATAAAAACATGTTGAATATTTTTCTCTAGTTTCAAGTAGTAATTAATGCCTAGTCGCCTACATTAAAACCTTGCAATCTTTGTCTCAAATTGAATCCAACTGATGAAGATCCCAAATAATCCAGACTTTTTTAATATATATATTTTTTCTAATGTAATGTTTTACATGATTATCTGTTGTATTTTTGAGAAGCACAAGAAATCAAGAAAATTATGCAACTGCAAAACTGAAAAAAAAAAATGCACATGTAGTTATCGTAATTAATTAAGCATGAAATAGCTTTTGATAATCTTATCATATGCGTTTTCTAAACCAATTAGTTTGCTCATACAAAAACCTTATTAATATTAATTGTAAAGTGTTTAACATAAAAAAATGCATTCAATATGAATAATGAATCTAGCATAAAAGAATTCCATCTTGCGTCGCTCGCTTACAAATATTAGAATTGAGCTTCATATTATTTGGTTTCTAATGTTGTAGTTATGTGCTTATTCTCTATGAGCAACATCAAAAGCATACTATGAAAAAAATTTTCAATGGGACAAAATTTTTTTTAGAGATTAGAGGAAATTAATAATTTTTCTTGCTAAAATGGAGGAGAATTTGATTAGAAAGATGTTAGACGCTGAAAAATATTTTAGTACTAATATAGGTTTTTGGCATACCTAACAAGTAACAACTAGCAAGATATCATTTTCTCCCAATAGTGAGTTGGTTACATTTTACAATTCATGAAGTGAGGAGAGACATTCCAAACGATATGATGTTTATTTGGGAGAACTGTAGTAATGTTTCTCCCTACCCAATAGCTACGCTATGCTTTGCTATTTAGAAGAGATTATTAATGATTCATATATATTGACTTCTTTCAACTTCTTAATTAATTTTGATTTATGGAGTCGTGATAGTTGAAGTGGTTTTGTCACAATATAAAAGGATCTTACTTCTTCGTGACAAAGGTTTCAATTTATGCTCTCCTTTTCTTGTAAGTATGGACCACTTTAGTACATTAAAAAAAAAAAAAAAAGGTTTCCGGAAAACTATTTTGCTAAATTTAGCCAATTAATTGAACTACTGCACTGTACTTCTAAATAGAGTTAGAAATCAATGTATTTCACCAACTATAATTTGTTCTGTATTGCTTTACTATTACTATTTATATTATTACGTTAATTACAATTTATTGTAATGTAATGAATTCTTTTCCGCAGAAAGAAAATACGCTAACAGGGTAGTTGGTGAGGGAAGTAATTAAATGGGATTACAAGAGAGTATAAATCCAAAGGAGGGGTAAGACTCCGCCAGAGGAAATGGTTTCCAGTTTCCACAGAAGGAAACACGACTTTGTTCTCAATTTGCAAATTACTACTACGATTATACGCTTTTGCTAACTGAAGCTGCATCCTGAATTCCTGATGCCACCCTATTTTGGCTTTGATCACATTAATTACATTAGTTGCATCTGTAGCCCAATAAATGCGTATAGGAATTTAAATAAGTGTAAAGGAAAAAATCATAATATTTTAATATTAAAAATGTTAAGACGTTGAATTATAGTTACATGATATATTTGATAAAATTAAGTTTACACTATATTCCACACATTTAATTGTTGTGATAAGATGTCTTGATTTTCTCTTTTCTCCTCTCTAAATATGATATACTTCCTCAATTCATTTTTGTGGACTTAGTTTAACATTTTGACTTTTAGAACATAAATTTTAAATGAAAATTTAATAATTTATATGAATAACAATTAAAATTTTTTTGCTCTTATGTATATTTTTTTGTTAAATATTTTTTATTTGATCATAAAAAAAATTCAGTTATTATTTATATTAAATTGATAAATTTTTATCTAAAATTTATATCTTAAAAATCAAAAAATTAAATTAAATTTATTCAAAACGTACAAAGGGAGTATAACACTACAAATAATATTTAAGACTAAAAAAATTTGGGGGTTCTTTTTCACTATATATGCCTGATCCGTCGAGGCTCTAGACTTCTCCAAATTACAGTTTCTGTAAATTATGCTTGTTTGCCTTTGTATGCAGTTGAAAAGATGAAGCCATATTCTGCAGCTAAGCTCATGAAACTTGGGTTACTGCTTCTACTTGTAACACTGATCTTTCAGTTGTCACTGGTGGTTGGGCGCGGTAGTAGTGGCAGTGGGCGCGGTGGTGGTGGTAGTGGCAGTGGGCGCAGTGGTAGTGGCAGTGGCAGTGGGCAGGGTGTTTTTCGTGGCCGCGGGGGTGGTGGTTATCACCAACATAGAAGCGATGCATCTACCAACACATTGCTTTATTCAATCTTGCCTCTTTTAACTTGTATTCCACTGATTCTCTGCAGGGAATATGCTCCTTTTGGTTTTTAGGGCTAGCCTAGCCCAAGGGCGGAGACGGGGGGAGCGCGCCAGCTCAACTTTTCATTCTAAAAAACTGGTATTAGTCTATTAGAGTTTTATTATGGTTTTATTATGGTTCTTTGTTGAAGTATTTGCTATAAAAGATGTTACATATATATGTTATATCTACTATGCTGTTTAAATTGAAGCCTTTAGATCTTAAATGATAGTTAATACCATGTTCTCGCATATTTCGTTGTATGCTACTGTATATATGAAATTGTTTCCCATTAAGAAATTAAAAAATGGTAGTACTCTGCTGAAAGAGTGGTGCGACACTTGCAACTACCAAGACTCTTAACGTTGGCCAACTGGAAGGAGAAGGATCTTCTCAATTTCCAGCCACCAGGCCATCAAGAGGCCGGAAAAATTAATAGTACTCTTTATTAACCTTCTTTTTGATATATCACTATCACATGCTATATATGGTTAAGTCATGGAATTATGGAAGAACTACTACTTTTCCAGTGTTAAAAAGGCTCCAATATGTGAAGCTCAATAAAACCTGAGAGCTTATTTTGGGTTTGATTAATTTTAATCGGGTTTGATTAATTTTGATCAAAATAATATTTTTTATTAAAATTTTGTAATAAATTTATATAGCAATTTTTTTGTGAAAGAATTTTTATTACAATATTTGTATTGTAATTATATAAATATATTTTTGATTTAATATCAATTTGAATAATTATTGACTAAATTTTTCATCATAATTGCATTTGTGATTATTTTTTTTTATGTCACTCAATTATAACATTTGTGATGAAAATTATTGTAACAAAAAATATTTTTTGTGATGACTAAATTTGTTACAAATAACTCATTAATAATGTAGATTTTTTTCATCACTATAAATTTTTTTTCTGTGACAGGTGTTAAATTCGTCACTAAAAACATTAGTGACAAGGTTTTTATTAATAATTTAAATTTTATCACTAATTTTAGTTTGTGACGGAAAATAAAAGTTTAATGACTAATAATTTAGTCATTAATAATTGATATTAAATCAAGAAGATATTTATATAATTACAATATAAATATTGTACTAAAAATTTCTGTCACAACAAAATTGCTATATAAATTTATCACAAAAGTTTAATAAAAAAAATATTATTATTTCAACACTAATCAATTTTGATTAAAATTAATCAAGCCCGATTAAGATTAATCAGGCCCAAACTAAGTTCTCAAGTTTTATTAAGCTTCACGTGTTTTATAGTGCAAAACTTTATTTTCTTAAATATTTCTCATCGATGTGGGATATATTTATAACGCAAAACCTTATTCTTTTATGTGTTTTTTTACTGATATGAGATGTGTTAATTAGAGAAAACTTAAATAAAGCTGAATTGTAGTAATGATTTTTATCATCACAAGTATGTATTCTTTTTGTGACAATTTTTAATGACAAAATATATTTTTAGTGATGAATTATTTGATCATCATTGAATGTGTAAGGTATATATGATCAATATTTGAAATTTGTCTTAATTGAAATGAGTTATAGTGATGATTTTTATTGTTATGAACTTATTTTTTATTTGTAACCATTTTTCAGTGATAAAATATCTTTTTAATGATAAATTTTTTTTGCCATTATTGAATATACTTGCATTGTGATTCATTTTTAAATTCTGTTACAAATGTAATGAGTTATAATGTTGATTTTAACATTCATTACAGTTTTTTATCGCTAAAAATCTCATTTCTTATAGTGAGAGTTTCAGGCAAGACAGCTCATTGCTAGATTAAAAAGGAAAAAGGCCACCACAAGAAATGAGATTTTTAGTGATAAAAAATTATGACGAATGTTAAAATCAACACTATAACTTACTACATTTGTGACAAAATTTAAAAATTAATCACAAATGCAAGTATATTCAATAATGATAAAAAAAATTCATCATTAAAAAGATATTTCATCACTGAAAAATAGTCACAAATAAAAAACAAGTTTGTAACAATAAAAATCATCACTATAACTCATTCCAATTAAGACAAATTTTAAATATTGATCACATATACCTTACACATTCAATAATGACCAAATAATTCATCACTAAAAATATATTTCGTCACTAAAAATATATTTCGTCATTAAAAATTGTCACAAAAAGAATACATACTTGTGATGATAAAAATCATCACTACAATTAAGCTTTATTTAAGTTTTCTCTAATTAATACATCTTACATCAGTAAAAAACACATAAGAGAATAAAGTTTTCCACTATAAATATATCCCACATCGATGAAAAATATCTGAAAAAATAAAGTTTTGCACTATAAAACATGTGAAGTTTAATAAAACTTGTGAAGTTTAATAAAACTTGAACTTAGCTTGGACTTGATTAATTTTAATCGAGTTTGATTAATTTTAATCAAAATTTATTAGTGTTGAAATAATAATATTTTTATTAAACTTTTGTGATAAATTTATATATCAATTTTTTTTTTGTGATAGAATTTTTGTTATTTTTTGTGATAAAATTTTTGTTACAATATTTGTGTTGTAATTATATAAATATATTTTTGATTTAATATTAATTTTAATAATTAATGACTAAATTTTTTATCACAATTGTATTTGTGACTTTTTTTTTTGGCAACCAAATGGAAAAATTGGGAAGAAAAATAATGGAAAAAAAAAAAATTTTTTTGTGATGATTAAATTTGTTACAAATAACTCATTAATAATGTAAATTTTTTTCATCACTATAAAATTATTTTTTATGACAAGTATCAAATTTATCACTAAATATATTAGTAAAAAAGATTTTACTAATAATTTAAATTTCATCACTAATTTTAGTTTAATTAGTTTGCGTGGAAAAATATAGTTTTAAGTCAAGCAAAATGCAGACAGAGAGAGAAAATGCATCGCCGTTTGAAATTATTCTCTGACATTCAGTGGGAAACCATCATTATAATGTCAAGCTTTCTTCACAACTCCATTTGAAGATACATAAAACTTTCCGGTTTCGCAAATTAGTCTGTGGTCCAATGGTTTGTCACAAGTCTTAGAGTTTGGGTGAGGCAGAAGTTAGAGTTTCGATTCCTGCTACCGCTATGAACTCCATTAACTTATGATCTAATGATCACGTGTCTCATTTAAGAGGTTGGAATGTTCACCATTATGAGAATCTTAATTGCTAACAACTAATTCATACTAACTTTCTAACCATTACCTTGTCAAAAAAAAAAAAAAAACTATCCGGCTTCATTTCTCCCCATAAGTCATCCCGGGGGCGACCTTCATGAACGCCGGCCGGGAAGAGATGTCCTCCCACCAAGCCTTTACGTGGGGACGATCGTTTATAACCTTGGCACAAGAAGTCTTCATGAAGTAGTGGGTGTAAGGAATGTGGTGGAGGTCGGCCAAGCTGTAGAAATCTCCGGCGACGTACTTGCTGGTCCTCAGCCTCTGCTCGTACACTTCCAGCACTTTTCCCAGCTTCTCCAAGTTCTCGTCGATGATGGCTTGGTCCGGCGCCTTCCCGAGGAGTGGTGCGACGTTGAACTGGAAGACGATTTTGGAGATTGCAGGGTTGAAGTGGTGCGCTTCCACCTCCATCCACTGTTTCACAGTTGCTGCTTCTTTGAGGTTTTGGTGGCGGATGAGATCCGTGCCACTCTCTTTTAGTTTCTCGCATAGATATGCAGTTATTGCTCTTGATTCTAGAAAAATAAACATATAAAACTATATTAACATGAAACCGCAAGATTCTAGTATTTTAGTCCGCAGTTTTGCAGTCTAAAAATCTTGCTAATATTAGATGGAAGATTATATTGCCTCATGTTGTACTACACTAAACTACACAACGTATATCTAAATCAAATATCATGTATGCATTTTTATCATGCATAAATAGTAGATCTGAGGAGCGAGATGAACGAGAGCATACCAAAAAGAGTAAGATCGCCATCTTCAAGCACTGGGATCAGGCCAAAAGGCTGCATATTAAGGGGAGAAAAGTTATGAATCCGTACCTAGAAAAGAAAAAGTTGGAAAAAGGAAAGCCCAGAAAAGGGAGAATGGGATTTACATTCTTGGCGAGGAAAGGAGGCTGCATGTGTTCAGCGGCAAAGAGATCGACCGGAACGAGCTCGAAATCAGCTTCCTTTTCATGGAGACAGAAAAGGACCCGAGCGGTGCAAGTGGACATGGGAGCGCCATGCAACTTGAGCGCCATGGAGAAATGGAAAGGGAGGATGTGAAGAAGAGAAAGGAGGGGTTACGTTGATGGGGAAGAGGGAAACAGAGCTGTGAAGGAAGGAGCAGAGGAGGGAGTGTTTATATAGTAGTGGGGTGCAGCTTTCGGTGCTGACCATGTGGTGTGAACTTGTGAGGCTCTTGGTAGTTGAGCTATAATTCTTTAAAGAAAGATTAATTATCTTCCACATATTAATGATTTTGCTATCCCTTCTTTAAAGAAAGATTAATTATCTTCCACATATTAATGATTAATTATCTTCCACATATTAATGATTTTACCATCCCTTCTTCAAAGGAAGATTAATTATCTTCCACATATTAATGATTTTGCTGTCCCTTCGAAGATTGATTATCGTACCTGGCCTATGAGCCAAGTGACTTTAGCCACATCTTTAGATTCTTTTTTGTTTTTTTGTCAAAGACAACGGTTCTATCAATCTTGTGATAAAAATATTCAAAAGAAAAAAAAATAATTATCTTCCACATCTTAATGATTTTGCTATCAAGTTTGTATTCTTCTAAATATTTGTCTGATTCTATTACCATATATATTATACACTAATTGATTCACAAGTAATTACAGTGTCATTGTTTAGCAAAAAAAATTCAACACATTTACTCAATTGGAAAAGTGAAAATAAGTGAAAATTAGGGGTGTCATGATATCTTAAATGTTAGAATTATTTTATCCTGCACACTAAAGTGTAATAAATATATTTTTTATAATTAATTTTTATTAAAAATATAAATATTGATTTT